TATACCAGTTTAATCTGTATAATGTTCTTCTACCATCTGACTTATGGCGGCCAATCGCATCCACTTACAATCTGCGAAATTACAATGCGCTCACGAACAACCAAAATTGATTCTTAAGTACTTGTTTATAAAGTTTAAGTCAATACGACAAAGTGTCTTAAGTGATTCATGTTCTTTTCCGAAAATAATTTAATGGCGCCGAAATGTCATCGCAAATCGGCCATTTTGAATTGATTTCTTTGATTCCATTAAGGAAAAAAGCATTGGTTTCCGAATCATCGGAAATTGTTTCCGATTATTTTAATCGCGTATTACATGTTAAATTGGTTGTGTGTGCGTAACAACTTTTAGGTGTACATATAATTATGAGTGAGGGAATCCTTATAGAGTCCCTTCTTTATTTCGCCGTAAAGTCGTGTTTTATGTAATTAACACCACAATTGAAACAATAGAAATTTTATTGTTGTAGCGGCATAAACATTTCTAAGTTATTATATTACATTAATTATTAAACACGTTATAAATTATTTTTAAGTTTTAAATTTTCGGCGGTAAAAAGGTTCCGTCTCCCAGACTATCTCCTTTTTCCCACATCTCGTGCGTTCCGGCTTACGCATCATAAAAAGGTGCATTCTTAAACGCCACATAAGTATTATATTTGTGTAAGTTAAAAGAAAGGGATGTCATAGGCTCCAACACTACTAAAAACAGCAGGCTGTGAGGGAACTTTTTAAAGCAGTTGCTCTTTCGATGATTTATTGAAAACTTACACTTGGACCAAATCAGGGAAACGTAGGGCCAAAAGACTTGAATAAATGCTATATATTCGATGACCAATGTGCTTAGTGCGAGTTGTTTTAACGTTCTCGATAGCGTAAAAGTTAACTCAATTTTGTATAAAGGTGGAACGCTTGCCGGCGTTCGCCGCTAGGGGCGCTGTTTTTTATGCTATCGAGAAAGTTCAAAAACTCGCACTAAGCGACAGGTCGAACTAGCAATCTAGTACTCAAAAGAGTAGTAGACCTTGGTCTGTACTCATTCGACTCTATACCTACCTCAAAGTACCTACTCATTATTATATCTATCGGGCACGGTAATTAGGCGTTTAAAACGCTCAATACCACTTGTTTGTTCATATTCATAGTAAAAAAAAACTCAAATGAGGCCTATAAAATCAAAGGCAGCTAAACGCCTTAATGTCGTAAAATGGATTAAAAATGGCACTATCTTGTTTAGTTCGTTGAACACGCTTTAGTGTTTTCATGTTGTTACAAATTCAGCTAAATCTCTAACAAATTCAGTTCAAAAATTTCATTTTTACTCTGTACTAAGTACTAATAAACGAAGTTTTATCATTTAAAATTCAGATTATTAGTAAAATTCTCATTCTTTATAAATCTACTTTAAAATAAAGAATATCGTAGCTATCCGAACAAAGTTATTTCAGCTTCTCAAACCGGGAGTGTTGTCAACACTGGGGCTAGCAAGAGCAGTACTTCGATGGATCGGGAGGATCCGTAATGACGTGTTTAGGGCCGATTTTTGTAGTTTATCTGAATATTTGACAGACTTGGATTTAGCTACCTTTGATTTTATAGGCCTCAAATATAGTAAAGTATTGTTAAAAAAAAACATAACCATTGTAATCGTGTAAAAAAAAATACGTTTTTTTCTGTCAAAAAAATACAGCAAATCTTCGATTTTTTTAAGGGATTTTATGACCTGGTAACTAAGATCTTTATGTCATGTCTTATTTTAATTAATATTCTTATTTTTATTAAAAATGTTGATATGGAGTGAAATTAAATGAAATGAAGATAGTTAATTTTAGATATTAATCAACTGGGATTAAATGAAATGAGATGAGATGATATGGGATGACATATAATCTCAGTAAAATGGTGGTCATTTACTAAGATTTTTTCAATTGACTTTTTGGAGGATCCCGGGAAGTTACGTCCAGTGGCTTTGTTTCATTTTCCCATATTTGTGCATTTTCACAGATATCAAACAGTTAATAAACCACGGTTATTACACATTTAAAGCTGAAGAAACACTAAATAGAGAAAATAAAGCAAATCACGGAACTTCACTCCTCGCGTTCCCGCCAAAAAGTCGCAAACCTTCGAGTATCCGCCGAGGCACAGAGTAGTTAAACAGTTAATAGACAAACTCATAGATTATAAATTAATAGACACTGACGTCAAACATAGTACTCATTTTTATATCCCAATAAAATATTAACGTCTATATTTATGACTCGTCTAATATCGATCACGACGGAACTGCCCATAAAATGAACCGCCAAAGTCAATAAGGCACTAAAATATTTACATCGCCATAATTAAATCTCGAATCCGCTGCATAAATGGGATAGAAAAACACGTTTTTGAGTTTACGCGGTTTTTTATATGCCCTCAGATAATTATTGGTATAGGCCTTCGCAATCTGAGTTCCGGGCGGTGCTTTATTGTGAAGAGTGACAGGGGAATGACACAAATAAATGCCCAAGTGAGTAGGTGAGCTCACGGGGCTCTAACCTGAAGGCGTTACTAACACTAGCTCTAACAAGAGCAGTGCTTCGCAGAATCTACCACCGGATCGGAAAGCGTGGCCCACTGAGAAGATTCGGCGAGAAACTTAGTGGGCTGTGTCTGTGGGTTAATTTACTCGCCGAGCCCTTCGTTGCAAGCGGAGGGTTCGACGAGAACGATGACCGGTGCTTGAGGTACCTAAAAGCACCGCTAGTGGATCGGGCGGATCCGAAATGACGTGTTTTGGGCGACGTAGACTGTTTACCACTCGGTCCGCAGGACCGGGTATGAAGGAGTGCTATAAACACCCATAAGTACCTACCTACTTCCTCTCTATTTCCACCGCGAAGTCCGCGAGTCATGCCTTTCGTTTATAAGGATAGGACAATTGTCATTCAGTTAAAACTTTCACATCATTTCTCTAAATGACTGACGGAATTTACATCTATGGGTCTCGGTAATCACATAACTTGAGGCTGTGAGGGCTTACTCCGACGAATCCTCACTACTACAATAATTTACCGGTGGTAGGACCTCTTGTGAGTCCACGCGGGTAGGTACCACCACCCTGCCTATTTCTGTCGTGAAGCAGTAATGCGTTTCGGTTTGAAGGGTGGGGCAGCCGTTGTAACTATAGTGAGGCCTTAGAAACTTATATCTCAAGGTGGGTGGCGCATTTACGTCGTAGATGTCTATGGGCTCCACTAACTACTTAAGACCAAGTAGGCTGTGAGCTCGTCCACCTATCTAGGCAACAAAAATAAAAAATTGTGGTACTCTATCGTCGATACAAATATAGTGCCTAAAATTAGATTTCAACAATATAAGCCTTTAATGTTAATACAAATTACAAATATCACATCATACTTTCCTTAATTTACGAAAGTAACTTTATTTAAAGTCGAAACAGCCACTAATAAAAAGTACCTTAAGTGCCATCTAGTTCATTTTCATTTAACTACTTCACCTAGTATCTAATCAATTTATATGTAGTTAAGATAAATCACAATAGATGTCATAAGCGACAAAAATAATTATTTGACATTCCTTGGCAGAGTTACCAGTTTTATTTTTACCCTTTAATTATCGAAAAAGAAATAAGGTAAAATTAAGTTCTTATTACTTAAAATCATTACATTACACAATAATTAGCTAAAAGAAGACAATGTCAAAAAATATTTATATATGCTAAAAGCCCGGTAAACCAACACCCGGTATTTTTTATGCTTATGCAGTTACACTAATTATTATAAAAATCGGTTGTCTGTAAAGTCGGTTTACTGACAATAGTTGAACGTGACAACGTCATAAGAAAATACTGATGGAATGGTTTCATTTTTCAAAAGAAAATTTTAATTTTATTTGTTTGATAGATATTTTGTATGGACAATTGATACCACATTCACTTTTCACTGAACTTCATACTTGACGAAAACATGTAAATGTATTATTGTATAGCAGCTGTCCACGCGGATGCATCGCTCACTCAAGTAGGAGAGAGATAGACGTCGAACGCTGCCGAACGCGGAGGCTGATTGTGCCTCTGTGTCGCTTGTTGCGCGCTCTCGCTTGCACTTCAAGCCTTAAATGGATCGCCCCAGAGCGAGGTAACGCCGCATGAGTCATGTTTTTTCGTGCGTGCAGCCGGCTCCATCGAATTATAAGACGTTGTCACGTCAAAACTGTGTAATTTCTATTTTGAGTCACATGTATTTGTTATTTAATAATAACTGTGGTAATCCACAGTTTATATCAGTTTCATTTATCACACATTCTTGTCTTCTTTATGAAATAGCCCATTTCTTTTTTTTTTACCTAAGCTGATGGCATAGATTATACACTTAATATATTTGAGAGCTATGAGGCCTTGAGAGGCCATTTTAGCGTAACCCTAACAAGTAGGTGAGCTCACGGAGCTCAAACCTGACGATGTTTGAGCTGAACTGAAAAAAAAAATGACATGTGTGCAATTCACATGTGGTAGAAGTGAAACCTTCCAAAATTAAAATACAATTATCCTAAACGTCTTAAGTATATGAAAAATTTTGTCATTAGTAAATAATTGTAAGGTAGCGCCCTCTGTGAATTGATATTTTAATTTCACGTATAATCCTAAATTAAAATTCACTACAAGAGCTTTCATACACACGTTAGTATTAAAAAATCTCACAGATGGCGCTGTATTAAATAGTATGTATATTTCTGTCTCACTCTTTGCTGGCTTCATCCTGCACATTTTTGTATTTGTGTCTCTTACCTGTCGTTATTTCCGTTGCATCCGGTTTGAAATCACGATTCTAAAGAAGTTTTCACTTCAAAAACTTTTGAGAACCCTTTCATCTGTGATAGGAATAAAATCATCAACACTAAAAATACCTAAATGTGTATAGCAAAGGGCAACTTATACAAGGATATTTTGACCAATACACACAGCAACACCGACAGTATGTCGAATTTTCGCTGTAGCGAGTGCGTTTTTTTTTTGTTTATTTACAAAAAGTTTTGTGTATTTCAAAAAACATGTAAAGTTATTCAAAAGTGACCAATTGTTATTCGAAAGTGTAATTATTTAACAAAATGAAGGTTATAGAAGCCAAAATAGTTGTACTTGGATCACAAGGTACTTACTTAAATCGAAAAAAATGTGCTATTACTAACAATTCATTTGTAATATAACAATAACAGGTTTAACTTTAGTGAATCGAATGTTTCGTAACAATTACGAATCGCGAGGTTTGCGACTTTTGTTCTTGAAAAACCAATGACGCCTTTTACTGAAATTTTACTGCATTTTCCGGTGCTGAAAAATAACTTGTACGTTTGTAATAATTAATAATTCGATTCTGTTGTTGATATTAGCTGTTTCTTTTCTATTCTTCTCACTGTAACTGTATCTCGAATCGGTTGAAATACTATGAAAATAGAAAAACGTAAGTATTCACACTAAGCAGGTTTTTTACTAATAATAAATGCTACATTAAACTTGTATAGTTTGTATTTTTTCAAGATGAACATTGAATGATTTGATTTCTGCATAGATCCATTAACTTAATCTGATCATTTAAATCATTGAAAAAATATGTAAATATTTGTTTAAAAGAAATTGTCTTTCAACAAACATTGCACAGTGCCATTGAAGCTTTAAGCTTATGTTTCTGGATGGTGTTTGCATGGTGATGATTATTGGCATTTGTAAGTAACTGATTTACACCAGTTGTGCGGTGAGTTTGATCAGTTATAAATACAATAATTAAAAATGAGTCCCATGTTTGAGTTGATGGCTAATCAAGATTACAGAGAGCATTCAAAAGTGATTTCACTCTTATCAATTTCAAAGTTCTGTCAAAGGTCATCCATCAATCACTTTATAGAAGTGTTACAAAGCCAAATTATTTCATACTAGCGGCCAACCCTCACTTTGCTTTGAGGAAAATTATTATATTTATTATAGTCTAAAAAAGGCTATTCTAAAAAAGTTGCCTCAGTTACTCTTTACATAATCAGCTACCTATCAGTGAAAGTCTTGTCAAAATCGGTCCAGCCTTTCCAAAGATTAGCCAGAACAAACAAACAGAAACTCGAATTTCATTTATATGTATAGATATAATAGAAGGAGCATTGTCCTTAATAGCCTTTTCATTGTGCAAGGCACAGATGCTACTTTACAGTAATGATGACTAGAAAAATAAGTATTTTCACCCACATACATAAAGTCATAGGTGTTGTGAAAAGAAAAAGCATATCTGATCTATGAAAATATTGATCTCAGTTCCAGCTGCAGACCACAACACATAACATCGATACTTTATATATAATTATGTAAAATGTATGCATGTGAAACAAATATACAATTATTATTTTCCCTTAATCTATTTATATAATGAATAGTTGTATTTTTCCTTTGTACCAATTTAAATAATAATTTTACACATATTTTTATTTTATTTATATTATTATATTATTAATAATTTTACACATAAAATTATTATTTGTTTGTTTGTCTGTTTTAGTTCTATGCAGTCAAAAACAATATGTTTCTTTGTCACAGCTAAAGTAAAATGAATGAAAAAATCAAGAAAACATGATCACTTCTTCTTAATATGTACTTATTCCGCGATTAATAACCTAAATAAAGTTAAATTTGTTAGAAAAACACAAAGAAACAACTTACTAGTGAACTTTAACATTAAATTTGAACTCTGTAGCTTTAGTATCTTAAATCAATCCAAGGCCGTTGCTACTATGCAGTACTTAAATATTAAATAAATAAACGGTGATGAAGTGCTCTGAGGAATTGTTTGAGATGATCTCACGATCTCGTTTTTACCATCACACCACCCGCCACCAGAGTAGAGTTCATCCATACTACCTGGAGCCACTGCGGCCATCCACAGTGCGTTTCCAGAGGTTTTTTTGCCACGTACCATCCGGTTATGGAATGAGCTCCCCTCCACAGTGTTTCCTGACATGTCCTTCTTCAAACGAGGCTTGTGGAGAGTATTAGGCGGTAGGCAGCGGCTTGGCTCTGCCCCTGGCATTGCTGAAGTCCATGGGTGACGGTAACCACTTACCAACAGGAGGGCCGTGTGCTCGCCTGCTTACAAGGGCAATAAGAAAACATATACATACTCATGTACCATATACGCCAATACATACATATAATACAATTTAAAGTTGCATGTGTGAATATATATACATATATAGATAACCAGACAGGGCAGATTCTTTTACCAGGTGGTAGGACGTCTTGTGAGACTGTACGGGTAGGTACAACCACCCTGCCTATTTCTGTTAAGTAATGTTTCATTGTCCTGTAACAACTGAGGCTTAGAACTCGTGTCCTCTATGTGGGTGGCAGCATATACCTTGTTGATGTCCATAGGCACTTCAACCTATTTTAGCAATAAAAATTCAGGATCGTGCTGGTGGTGGCCTTCCTTCAGTAAGTAATTAAGGCATAATCAAAGTTTTTTTTTTTTATTGCTTAGATGGGTGGACGATCTCACAGCTCACCTGGTGTTAAGTGGTTACTGGAGCCCATAGACATCTACAACGTAAATGCGCCACCCACCTTGAGATATAAGTTCTAAGGGTCTCAGTATAGTTACAACGGCTGCGCCACCCTTCAAACCGAAACGCATTACTGCTTCACGGCAGAAATAGGCGGGGTGGTGGTACCTATCCGCGCGGACTCACAAGAGGTCCTACCACCAGTAATTACGCAAATTATAATTTTGCAGGTTTGATTTTTATTACACGATGTTATTCCTTCACCGTGGAAGTCAGTCGTGAACATTTTTTGAGTGCGTATTTCATTAGAAAAATCGGTACCCGCCTGAGATTCGAACACCGGTGCATCGCTCAACACGAATGCACCGGACGTCTTATCGCTTAGGCCACGACGACTTCAACGACTTCACTGCTCACTGAATTAGTTTAATTACCTCCATTAATCCGCGTCTTCGGTTGCCGAGAATGACATATGGAAAGCGTATTCTAGAAGCCAATACAAAAAGAAGGGTAGGGTGAGCCGTGTGTAAATAAATAATGTTGTCAATGGAAAATAATCTATCGCACGTTAGTGATGTGTCCACGGAAGTTTTGAAAACCGATGATAAGGTTGGTAATTACCAGAAAAGTTATTTAAACATGAATTTGTCGGTGGAATATTACGGGCGATCAGTGGTTTTTTTTTTTTTTTAAATTTGTACTACCTTTACCTATTACGTCACCGTTTTTTTTTTAAGATCACCATTACATTTCTTTGCGCTACCGTAATATTTTCTATAAAAAAATATTATCGATTTTTATGTGTCATTATAATTTCTAAATCGCTAGACGATGTCAGTGACATTGGCAGAGCCGTCACCCGCCTTGAGACGTGAGGTCGATGTCTCAATATAAAACATGACCTCCCCCCACACCCTCTCTAAACCGGATACGGGGAATAACTGACCTCTGACAGCGGAATTACGTAATCGTAACTGACGCCATTACAAAATATTTAACGAGCAGTTTCGCTTTCAATATAACCTAACTGTCGATTGATTCGCGTCTAAAACCAGTTTCACAATTAAAATACATTTAAGTATTTGAATTTAATGAATATTTTAGTTTTCGTTACTATCGAATTTGGATCGTTCATGATAAACCTGAATTAAAGTTTAGGAAGATTGATAATAATAATCTGTGCTATTTTTTTGGTTTTTTTTTTTTAAACATGACAGATAATATTACGTCATTGGACCGGAATAACTTGGGAGTCATTGTACGAATATTATGGTTTTTTTATTATTTTATTGCATAGATGGGTGGATGAGCTCACAGCCCACCTGGTGTTAAGTGGTTACGGGAGCCCATAGATATTTAAAACGTAAATGCCGCCACCCACCTTGAGATATGAGTTCTAAGGTCTCAGTTTAGTTACAACGGCTATCTAGCATGATCCCTCGAGTTCACTAGAATAGGTAGGATTAAAAAAAATAAAAGATAATATAATATTAGAGTCGGCTCGGTGTCCGGTTCGCGCCTTCGTTACGGTTCAATGATTTATTATTATTTAATATCATTACATATATCTGTTTAATTAAGTTAAGATATTATTTCTAAACACGATTGCGTCACCTAACTAGCCGACTTGATGAGTTCAATGGTCGTTTGAATAGCTTTGTTGTCGCCCGTAAGTTAACAGAGCGCCCGTGGTCATCACCACATAGGTGGTAAACGATACTTATTTGCGTAAGTTTTCGTGTAATTTTTTTTTTATTGCTTAGGTCGGTGGACAAGCTCACAGCCCACCTGGTGTAAAGTGGTTACTGGAGCCCATGGACATCTACAACGTAAATGCGCCACCCACCTTGAGATATAAGTTCTAAGATCTCATTATAGTTACAACGGCTGCCCCACCCTTCAAACCGAAACGCATTACTGCTTTACGGCAGAAATAGGCAGGGTGGTGGTACCTACCCGCGCGGACTCACACTCTATTACTCTGGTATTTTCACGGCTTAATTTCAGCTCGGCTATTACTTGATTATCACCGTATTGTGTATTTTCTACGATAACATGGTATTCGGAACGCCCGTAAAAAGTTTAATTGCAAAGCAACAATTGTCATTTAAGTTTTTTTTTAATCTATGGTTGTCAATAAACTGACCTAATAAAGAAGGCAATTGAGTCCACTATGGTTCAATGTATTCGGAACGCTTCGAACCGCCAGGCCTGGAAGCGCATTGCCTGGAGGGCGGTCGTCGGGAACACGGGCGACCTAACAGGTCCTACTGCACATACAGCGTCAGCGCAACCACGACCACTCTGACAAGAGTGTCCGACCGAGAAGAGTCAATAAACTAATAATAAACTAAGAGATGTGCATCTTATTTTTTTTTTTGAAGTGAAAACTTCTTTAGAATCGTTGTGATTTCAAACCGGATGCAACGGAAAAAACGACAGGTAAGAGAACAAATACAAAAATGTGTAGGATGAAGCCACCAAAGAATGAGACAGAAATATACATATTATTTAATACAGCGCCATCTGTGAGATTTTTTAATACTAACGTGTGTATGAAAGCTCTTGTAGTGAATTTTAATTTAGGATTATACGTGAAATTAAAATATC